TCTGAACTCTATTTGCCAAAGCAATCTCACATCCCCTTTTTGCCCACCTGATTTCCCTCCTTATACTCTTCTAGGGATTTACTTAATCCCTGCTGTCTATACCTGACATGTGTTTCCTTCTTTTTCTTGACCAAAACCTCAATTTCTCCAGTAATCTAACATTCCATATACCTACCAGCCTTGCCCTTCACCCTAACAGGGACATACTATCTCTGGACTCTCATTATCTCATTTTTGAAGGCTTCCCACTTTCAACCGTCCCTTTGCCTGTGAACAACCTCCCCCGATCAACTTTTGAAAGTTCTTGTCTAATGCCGTCAAAATCGGCTTTCCTCCAATTTAGAACTTTAACTTTTTGATCTGGTCTATCCTTTTCCATCACTATTTTAAAACTAACAGAAATATGTTCACTGGCCCCAAAGTGCTCCCCCACTGACACCTCAGTCACCTTCCCTGCCTTATTTCCCAAGCGAAGGTCAAGTTATGCTCCTTCTCTATTAGGTACATCCACATACTGAATCAGAAAATTTCCTTCTACACACTTGACAAATTCCTCTTCATCCAATCCTTTAACACTATGGCAGTTCCAGTCTATGTTTGGAAAGTTAAAATCTCCTCCCATAGTCACCCTATCATTCTTACAGATAACGGAGATCTCCTTAAAAATTTGTTTCTCAATTTCCTGCTGACTATTGGGAGGTCTGTAGTACAATCCCAATAAGGTGATCATCCCTTTCTTATTTCTCAGTTCCAACCAAATAGTTTCCCTGGACATATTCCCAGGAATATCCTCCCCAAGTACAGCCATAATGTTATCCTAATCAAAAACACCACACCCCCTCCTCTCTTGCCCCCTTCCTATTCTTCCTATAGCATCTATACCCTGGAACATTAAGCTGCCGGTCCTGTCCATCCCTGAGCCACGTCTCTGTAATAGCTGGAATATCCCATTCCCATGTTCCCAACTATGCCCTGAGTTCATCTGCCTTACCTGTTAGACTTCTTGCATTGAAATAAATGCAGTTTAATTTATCAGTCCTACCTCATTCTCTGCTTTGCTCCTGCCTGCCCTGTCTGTTTGACTTGCTCCTTTTCATACTTGCACCAGCCTCAGACCGATCCCTTTACTCACTATCTCTCTGGATCCCCCCTTACCAGTTTAAATCCTCTGCGGTGGCTCTAGCAAATCCCTCCACCAGTATATTAGTCCCCTTCCAATTAGGTGCAATCCCTTTTTATATATGTCACTTCAATCCCAGAAGAGATTCCAAAGATCCAAAAATGTAAAGCCTTCTCTGATGCACCAGCTCCTCAGCCACACATTCAGCTGCTCTATTCTCCTATTCCTACCCTCACTATCCCATGGGAGTAATCCAGATATTACTACCCTCAAGGACCCACTTTTTAAATTCCTGCCTAACTTCCTATATGCTCTCCTCAGAATCCGGTCATTTTCTCTTCCTATGTCATTAGTTCCACTGTGTACAACGACCTCCTGCTAGTCCCTTTCCCCTTTGAGAATATTCTGCACCCTCTCCAAGATATCTTTGATCCTGGCTCCAGGGAGACAACACGCCATTCTGATATCTCACTGCCAGCCGCAGAAATGTCTGTCTGTGCATCTGACTAGAGAGTCCCCTATCACAATCAATTGCTTGGACTCTGATTACATTAGAGACAGTCTTGGTACCAGAAACATTGTGCTACATTGCCCTGAGAGTCCCTCACCACTACATTTTTAAAAACAGAATACTTGTTTGAGGTGAGGAAAGCCACAGGAGACTCCTACAGTACCTGCCTCCCTCTCCTACCTTTCCTGGAGATCACCCATCTACCTGACTGTATCTGTGCTTTATGTCTATTCCTGCAACTGCCATCCATCACACCCCCAGCTCCTGTAAATTCCTCATTGCCTCTAACTAGAGAGTCCCCTAACCAATCCAATACAATTTGCAACCAAACTCACTTCTTGCAGACATAATTAATAGTATCATAGAAACTCTCCCTAATTTCCCACATCCAACAGGAAGAGCACTTCACTCTACTAAAGGCCATCTTTGCACCTTAACAATCCACAGACCCAGAAAATAGCAGTCTTACTGCTCTAAAAACACTGATCTAGGCTAGCGTAGTACCTATGTTTTTACATTTTTAAAGTTTAACCAAGACACAGATCTTAATAACAACATGTAATAAAAAAACCTCACTCTACTCACTACTGTAGACAAAAGAAAAACAGTAAGGTTACACTTTAAAAAGCCACTTAGCTGCACCCCTGCTCTGAGCTCCCACACACAGGTTTCTCCAAGGTCAGCTGTGAATTTCGCTGTTTGTTTATTTTTCTTAGAACGAAATTTGAAGTCCAGTGATACTTGAAACCAGACAGCAAAGGCAGTAGCTGTGCAGGTTACTGCTAGGTCAGACAGCTGTGTAAGTTTCTTTCTCCATTTGAATCACTGTCCATGTGGTCACTAACTTTGTCCGTCTTCCTACTTTTTAAAATGCTGTTGTTTTGATCTTTTTCTTTCCCCCCAATGTTCCAAAACAATAGAACAGTAATTACTGCTCCTAGGATTCGAGGAAATCAGCTCCAACACTGAAAATACCTCCAAAAAGTGGCTCTTACTACAGCCACAATTTCTCTCGCCCTCCATCTTGGATTACCCAGAATCCTTTAGTATAGGAACGGTTTAGCGGGTTAAGGGCCAAATGCTGGCAAATGGGACTAGATCAGATTGGGCTATCTGGTCGGCGCAGACGAGTTTTACCAAAGGGTCTGTTTCTGTGCTGTGAGACTCTACGTACCCCCCTCAGTCTCCTCTGCTGTAAGAAAAATAACCTCAGTCTGTCCAATCTCTGTTCATAACTAAACGTCTCCAGCCGAGGCCCATTCAAGTACATCAGGGACTCTTTTGAGACGAGAGATGTGAAAAATACGTGCTTAACCATCTATGTTTGTTCTTACTCAAATCCAGCTGAATGGTAGAATGGGCTCTTCCTGAAAATCTAGTAAAATCCACAGACTGATGGCCAGCAACAGAGAGGCAATTTACTGCATGACCACACCTGATTTGCCTTATTTCTGACAGAATATAAAAAACCCAAATGCGCAGATAATCGGCCTTAATTACAAGCTTATGGCTGCAGAATTAAACAGAGGCCATGTCCGGCTTCTGAGGCAGACACCAGAGATCCTATGACACTCCCAAGATAAGCAGTGCGTTCTTCAGTGTTCTGGCTGATAATTATCCTTCAAACAAAATCATAAAAACTGATTATACAGTCGTAATCCCATTGCTGTTTGTACTGTCTGCAAATTGGCCGCTGCTTCTTCTGTTATAAAAGTGACTGCACTTCAGAAGTGTTTAACTGTAAACTACAGATAGCTGCTAGTCATCAAAGATGCTACAGAAATATAAGTCTTTTCTTCTCACTCAACACTGTCAGTGTCAGATTGCTGTCTGCAAGAGGAAATTGACTACCACATTTCTTGCTTTTATTTTGGTGTGGCTTCTCAGGCTATTTCAAAGCGCAGTTACAGAGCTAGCCACCTTGCAATGTGTCTGGAGTCACTGAGAGACATTAAACAGTGCCTACATTTCAAATGCACTTGACTGGCCAGTAAGCTGATATTTGATGATAGCTGACCTGATTGTGCCCTCACCTTCTGCACGACCTTGCCTCCACTGTTCCCCAGAGAATTCTACAGTCTAACTACCCTCAGAGGAAATATCTCTCCATCTCCATCTTAAATCTTATTTTTAAATGGCACCCCCCTTGTTCTAGGCTCCCTCATAAGAGGAATGATCCTCAGCTTCCACATAGTTAGGAACTCTCACGATCATGCATTTAAGCTAGACCACATGAAAGGTATTACACAAAGGCAATTGTTAATAAAACTTGGAGGCATTGAAAAAGGAAGAAATGAAGTCATTCACTAGTTGAAATACTTGGATTTGGTAACATTCTTACCAGGTGCCAAGTTTGGCAATGCATTTAACTAGATCCACTGGTTTGTCCAGACAGAACTATTGCTTTTGCTAGACAAGCAAATGAATCTTGTACACGCAGAATATGGGCGGGTTCTTATGGCATCTCATGTCTTCTTTGTAGAAACAACCTGCACTTCCCATGGCATTAGTTACATTACAGTACAATGATTGCTGCTGTATTGTTTGCTATTTCATACACAGATCAAGGTGCTACAAAGAGCAAAGGGGATAAATGACCAGTCAGTCTGGGGTGGTACAGTGGTTAGCGCTACTGCCTGAGAGCCCCAGGGACTTGGGTTCAATTCCATTCTCTGGCAACTGTCTGTATGGAGTTTGTACATTCTCCCCACATCTGCATGGGTTGTGTCCAGGTGCTCTGGTTTCTTCCCACAGTCCAAAGATGTGCAGGTTAGGTGGACTGGTCATGGGAAGTACAGGGTTACAGGGTAGGATGGGTCTGGGTGGAATGCTCTTCAGATGGTAGGTGTGGACTCAATGGGCCAAAGGGTCTCCTTCCACACTGTAGGAATTCTATGAATCGGATTGTGGATGATATTAGTTGAGGGAGGAATTGCATAGGAATGGGATCTTGAACGTGCACTTTAATCAGCAGGGCAGACAGACTGGATCATCATGTTAACACCCTATCCACAAGTATACCGCCTGCAGCACTGCAGTAATCTGAAGCATCAACCTAAATGGAGTGGTCTTAAGTCAGGCTTGAGCACACAATATTTCCACTCAGAGGTAAAAATGGCGTCAAAACTGAAACCATATCTAGTTCGCCAACTGCCCAGCATACATCTATTTGTTTTGGATGAAGTTGTTGACGCTGTTAACATGCAATAAGTGAAGGGTTAGTTCAATCAATTCAAATGTTCACTGGTGTTTTGTCTTTATTTCAGGATCTTTGAAACAAAAAATAAAAGTTCCTATTTTCTACTTGAATTCATTTATAAGTGTGTGTTCAAGACGAGGCACAGTATAACGGAAACGGCTCAATGTTCATCAATTTCAAATCTTGGAAGATTTTAATTCCAGTTCATTCAGACACAATATGGGATTCTTCTCAACAGGTTAAAACTTTTTTTTTAAAAAGAAAGATCTTTACCTGTGGAATGATTCCAGGTTGCTCTCATTTTAACACAGAGACTCAACAAACTCATTAGTTTGAGTTATTTGCCAAGATCTTCAGCTTTGGAGTCAGCAGTATTAACTAATTTGATGAGAAGAAAGTTGCTGACAGCAGACGCACACAGCAGACTGAACTGATTGCAGCATCAGGCTGGTTCATGTGCTGTCCACAGACAAGCAGCAGCAATAGTAAACTGTTTAAAGCATTGGGAAGCTGGCATCGCAGGAATCCTTTTTTCTTCACTTTCACAAATGTCTGTCTATATGCAGCAGCAATAAGGGGAAAGGAGACAGGCACTTGTGGGATTGGCAGGTTCTATGTGGCTGTGTGTCACGTTAGCTGGCTGTAGCAGATACAACATATTGCTTTGGGAATCCCAACAACCTCTTTTTATTGCATGCCCTGTTTGAGAACATGTCAGAGGGCTGGCTTTTGCACAGACTGGAAGAGAATTTGGGTTGGAGGCGGGATGGCATCTATCCAACCCGGGTCTTCAAACATAACAGGTGGCCAAACCTGACATTAGTTTACCTGACTCAAAACAAGGGAGGCAATGGCAGACTAGATAAACAACCGTGTGAAACAAAGCTCAACCACCATGGCCCATGTGAAAGATCCAGACCCTCAACAATAAGAGTTTCTCAAAACCTAATGGTTACAAAACTGCAACATAATGAAGCATATGGCAGGAAGTAAATGTTGTGCTATGCACACACTACTGGCAGTCTGTCACATTACTGCAAGGCGCTCCTCCTTTTGGGGAGAGAACACGCAATATATTAAACAGTTCCCCCCCATGTGAAATTCATCTGGGTATTTTGCAACTTAATCACCTTCGTTGCCACACGTAATACAAAAAGGAGAGGTTACACCAATTTATAATATATTCTAAATTTTTGTTGCTCCTGATCAACAGCCAGGATGAGGAGAAAGAGAAGCAATATATTAGAGGCCCTGCTGTTTCCTAGGACTCTCTTTATTGAGGGGGGTACCATTGAAATGGTAGAGCATCTAAGTTGGGATTGCCTGCGAGGAAAAACAAAATGTAAAGATGAGTCTTAATGTTATTGTTTCAGGACACTATACATTACTGATTTGCTTTCTTCAATTGCCACAAAAAGAGATTGAGGCTATAATAGGTACTTTCACAAGTATGTCAATGGGTAGAACTGGTAACTCAGTGTTGTAGTTGGGAGGATGGGCTTGAATGGTTTGCAAAACCCAAGAGGAAATAAGGAAGGATCTTGTGAGGCTGCATTATTGTTCAGTTCAGTTTGCTGTGCGCCCCTAGGGCTCTCCACGGTTTCTGATTACATTTGAAGTATTAAACTCCATTCAGAAATACTGAGCATTCAGAGCAGGACATGGGCTGTTACACGATACAAAATTGTTTTAATCCTTTCCAAACTTCAGCCGCGGAAGCCAAAGAAACCTTTGATGTAGCCGGTGAGGCCTCCTCGTCCTTTCTGCTCCACTTTGTCCTCCAAGGCTGGGAATGTCGCATGGTTGAGAGCCAGGTCAAAAAACAGAGGCTTACAGGGGATTGGCTGGAATTCCGGTGGAAAACGCACCAGATTGGCATGTTTAGTGACCAGAGAGGGATCGATGCGAAACACGTCCAAACATTCACTGAGGGGCTGTGAGAGAAGCAAACTCAAGTTACATCCAGAGCTCTAGCATGCAAAGACACACAGTTTAAACAGTAACCACCAGAGGGACCAGTATCACAACGTGTGAACTGTTGAGATCAACAATCCTGGTAAGTGATCTGGGTTATGTACCAGACTTTAGAATGTCACTTCAGTGCTTTCTAAGACCACATACTTCATGTCCTAGAATTTCTACAGTTTTTAATCCCATTCTCGAATGATGGCGATTCATTAAGTTACAGTTCCACGATGCACGTTAGTAGAACTGCACGCAAAGACGATTGCCTTTTGTGTACCAATTTGACCACGGGTCAGTCCTGTCCTTAAAATGTCCACCCACAGGCAGCCACTGGGAGTAGGATCTTGGTTTGCACTTCTTCACTCTTGCCTTCCTCAGGGACAGTGAAGCCAACCGCAATGCCACAAATCATTCCAAGTTGGGATAAACCGATTCAATGCCGACTGACTGTGGTCTGCATGGCTCACCCAGAGATTTTACCCACTAACAGAGTAATTGAACACATTCCAACACAGTATGGAGATGACACTGATAAAACCTTGTGAAAGGAGAACTTTTCGACATTGAGAGTTATGATCTGGAATGCACCGCCTGAGCGCGTGGTGGAAGCAGTTTTGAAAGCAACTTTGCAAAATGTAATGCTCTTAACTTATCAAATGGGGAAACAAAATACAGAGCAGTGGAGAAACAGTTATGGGGAGGGCTGTGGTGGGATTAATTAAATAACTTTTTCCCCCCAAAGAGTTGGAGGGCATATTGTGCAAAAAGCCCCTCTTGGTGCTGCTCAATTCTAATAAGTGTATGCTAGCAGAAACATGAGGCAAGTCAGCAAGTCCTCAACAGTTGCTTGACACCAAATAGCTTCACTTTGTAGGTTTTTGCATTTTTAACCTAAAGGTCCCACTCTGTTGATAGCCTTCCCCTTAAAACCATAGAACATCTCTTATCATCTTGAATATTCTCATCCTCAGTGAAAAGTGAGCAAGAACAAAGGAACAAAATTAAGACAACTTATATTCTGTCAACATTGCTGCATGCCTCCCTTAGGTCTTCCTGTGGTACCTGGGCTGAATGGACAGGTTACCAGTCAGGCCCCCTGACAGTATCTGATTGATGGGTAGTGATTTGCTCAGACCTTCCTTCCCCTGGGTTGCAGGTTTTCGTTATTACCTATAGAAAGGCAAGACTGGCAAATTCACTGAAGGCAGAATTATTAACACCCAAATTTCCTCTCAAAGCTTCCGAGGGATTAAGGAGGAAAAATGGCAAACTACATTTGTGAAGATATAGTTGATCTCAGTCACAAGGATGGTCAAATTACATTCAGCATCTTAGGCAGATTGGTGCTGGAAGATTCCATTTACAATTAGCAAACCATTTTAGTTGATATTCAGATCTCCCAGACTGGATTTAACCTCCTGTGAAAGGACAAAGTCCTCAGCCTAACATGCAGCAAGTTACTTTACTAAGTACAAGTGGATACAAAATAAAAGCAGCTCAATGATGCACCGAAGGCTGGGAGGACAAGTAGTCAGGCCTAACTTCCACCTGAGACAAGACAAGGTTCACTTTTAGTTTGCAATGAGACTAACAATAGAAGCCTGGATCATTTTAAACAACCTCTAAATAAACTGCTGCTACAGCACACAACACACTCATCCATCATTCAAGTTAGTGGCAGTATATTTCACTTCAAGATGCTCTTCTGTTTATTCCCCATGTCCTTGAATGTTCCTCTTTCTCACGCCACCTTTAAATGAGATCTATGCAATCTACTTCAATCACAATTTGTTACAAAATTCCACACAACAGGCATTCCTCCTGAAGAGTTTTATTTTCCTAAGACATCCTTTAATTCTTGAGTAATACTGATTAAAAAAAAAGGCATGTTGAAAAACTATTCAGCCTGCACTCATTAGGACAATACATAAGAAATACCGAAGTAAAAAGAAAACAACATTGTATATACGAGAAGGAAGTGCTGATAGATAGATCAGTAGATCTGTTAAAATTTTAAACCAAGGTTGACAAAACTTAGCAGTTAACTGTCATTAGTCATCAATGGACGTATTCTCCATGACACACTTTTATTAATAAGTCAATTAGACAAAGAATCAGCATTCTTCTCACACAGTATAAATGACATCTTCCTTTACATTATTAATCCTTGAGAACTGAACCAATGAGTGAAACACAAAGCTGTGCCAATAATGTATGTTTTTCAACAATACTTGAATTCTGTACTAGCAGGGGATTCTTGTGATGATCTTGAAATTTATGTTCTAATTAACAAAAAACTCTCATTGTAACTCTTCATAATTTTAGCAATCCCAAAGGAACCACAACAGAAATTCACTGAGCAGTTATCTACACGTAGCAGCAATGCTTCCCTGTGACGATCACAACTTCAACAGTCTTAAGTTGGGGACATATTCTGCCAAACATTTGACACAGTTAATTTGATTGAACAATTATAGTGATTTACAATTTTGTTTGCGCTCATTCTTTCTAACAATTTGTTTGGATTTGAAGATGTGATACAATTTCCTCTAGTGAGATCTGCCACGAGAATCTGGGAAACCCTTACCTTGTTGTCTTTGACTTGAAGCTGTGACACCATCTCGGAGACATCCTCGTTGTCTACGGAAGGTGGTTATGAAGAAAATAATTGAATTTCATAAACAATTTACAATTCCTCCACCCACAATGGACAGTAACAAAGTTATCCATGTCTAAATATCCTCTATTCTTTCAGAGAACATGGGCATTACTGCTAAGGCCAGCATTTCTTGCCCACTCTTAATTATCACTGAACTGAATGAATTGCTTGGTCATTTCACAGAGCAGTTAGAGTTGATCACGTTGTTAGAAGTCTGGAATCACACACAGGCCAGACCAGGTATGAATGCCCAAGTTACCTCCCCAAAGGGCATCAGCGAACCAGATGGATTTTTACAAGAATCAATGATAGTTGTCATGGTCACCATTACCAAGGGTAGCTCTATATTCTTGATTTATTTGAATTTAAAACCCACCATGGTGGGTTATGGCAAGATGGCAGCAGGGTAAGATGCTCCAGTTGGAGCTCCTCTGCTCCCCAGTTCCTTTTCTTATTTTTTTTGCCTCCACTTTTGCAGTATTTTTTTTCTTCCTGCTTCCTCCCACCAACCCAACCTTTTAACTACCCCTAAGTGGAGAAAGGAGTCAAGGGAGATGAGTCATGACCAGAGACCAGGCTGGTGGTGCCATTAAATGGTAGCCACTGTAAGAACATTTCACTGCACTCCCATACTGGAGTACAAGTGACAATAAAGGATATTCTATTCTATTCGAACCCAAGTTTAGCCTGGGCTTCTGGATAACCGTCCAACATTACCACTCTACCACCATCTCTCCAATTACCTTCAACCTGTGCCATCAGATTCTCAATCCTTCCACCAACAGGAACTGGTTTTCCCATCTATTTTATCCAGACAGATTTTTAATATCTCAATCAAATCTCTTTTCTCCAAAAACAACAGTCCTAACTTCTCCAAACTACATATCTGATTTTCCTCAGCCCTGGAACCATTCTTATGATCTTTTCTGCCCTCACTCTCTAATCCCTTCACATCTTTACAGAACAGTGATGCCCAGAATTGCTTGTGTCACGCTAGTTGGGGAAAGGGAGCAAACCAATGATTTTCACAGATGTAACATACATTCCTTGCTTTTGTAATACATGTTCCTACCAAAGAATCCCAAGAGGTCATATACTTTACAATCCACACACTCAACCTGCTCTACCACCCTCATTTACATACATATGCATTAAGGTCCTCTACTCCTACACCCCCTTTACAATTTTACCCTTTATCTTGTATTTCTTTTTGTAGTGCCTACCAAAAAAGACACTTCATAAATCTCGATATTATATTTTTTCTACTACTTCTGCATCCATTTCACCAACCTAGGTCCTTTCAAAATTCTATATTAGTTTATAATTCACAATGGTTCCAGTTTTGCATGATCTGTAGATTTTTAAATTGGGCCTTGTACACCAAGATTCAAGTCATTAAATACATCTAGTGGAAGAAGGATCCTAATGCTGACCACTAGGGAGCACCAATATAAGGCTTCCTTTATCCATATTGCTACTGTTCCTTTTATTCCATGAACTGTAACTTTACTGTGCAAATATGCAAAGAGTAGTTAGCCAGCCAAGCCACACAAAGTACAGACAGTGACACTGTTGCAGTACCTTCTGCTGCTGGGTAGCTAGTACCCATCAGTACAGAGAAGGGAAATATTATTCTTTCACAGAGATCAAATTACCCTCTCTGTTAAATAAAGGAATCCCATTACTCTTATCAACAAAAAGCAAAGACTTTCCGATACACACACTACAAATAAGCCCACTATCTCTTCATTACACACACACACACTTAAACAACCTCCCATCATATGCACCATTAAAGTAGTAAGATGCCTCAGTGTTTCAGATAAGTGATTAAGGACCAGAAGTTGACACTGATTTGCATAACGGGATCTTAGGACAGCTGATTAAAACTTGGTCAAAAAGAGAGCTTTAAGTGTCTTAAAGGGAGAAAGAGGCAGAAAAGCAGAGACATTTAGTCAGGGAATTCCAGAGCTTTGGGATAGGAACTGAAGACATGGCCACCATTGGTGAAGGGAAGATGTGCAATCGGTCTGAACTGGCAGCGCAGAAGTCTCAGCAATTTAAAGACTCAAAGGTTACAGAGATAGGGAGGGATTTAAAAACAAGAATGAGTACCTTCAAATTGTTGGGCTGTTGGACTTGGGGATTTGACGTAGATCAACAAGCACAGGTGATGAATAACAGAACTCGATATGAATTAAGATAGCAATAGCAGAGCTTGGTATGAGCTCAAGTTTATGGAGAGGGCAAGGGGAGAGATTAGCTACAACACCATTGGAACAGAAAGGTCTGAGGGTAACAACAGAATGAATGAGATTTTCAGCTGAACTAGTGTACTCACCTAAAATAGCAGCTGCCTGTACCGAGTACTTCTCAGCATTGACACGTGCAACCAGGTCCTTCATATCAGGCAGATCCTGCAAAGAAGTAACATTATATTAACCAAATGATTCTGTACCAGTGGTCAGGAGTTAATTTTGTGGTGTTCGTATAATTTTTTTCTCAACTGTTTCAAAACAGTTCTCATAAGCATAGTTTTTGTACTGTAATGCAGACACTGTATTTGCACACAGTTGCATGATCAGAAATTATGCTTACCGGCACTGGATTCAATTGTATGTTTCATCATCTAATTCAGAGAGATATTAAATTTGGAGATCATATTATCTCATAGTTTTGTATGATTGTATTTTGCCAAGTTTCCTTGCTTCATGTTTCAATCAAAACTGTCATAGGAGAAAATTTTGCAATGATTTCATAAAAACATCTTCAGGTAAGATATTTTAAATAAAAGTTTGAAGGGCAAGTTCGGCCTCCTGACTAGCCCCAAGCTGCCTTACTTAAGCAGCCGTTTCAAGAAAGGGCACCATTTATCAAAACCACAACACTGAGTTTCCTGTCACTAAATAACCATATTCATGTAGGAGCTTTGAGAATGAATCTCAGTAACCTAATCGACCATGGTAGGCATCACAATGGAGCCTGTTCATATCTGTATCTAACATCCACAAGCCTAAAAGAGATCACAGGATAGCCATCAGAAATGATAAACTGGCTGATTTACACATACCTTCCCGAGGGAATAAAAACCACTTCAAAATCAGTGTGCCAGTAGAAGGGTTTGTAGGGGACAGGGCCTGACTGAGAAATTCTACTCTCTAAGGTACGCTATACACTGATGCATCAGGCTAGTCGCACCTGACATTTCAAAAGGCTTCTTTAATAAACTGTCTGTATGGAGTTTCTTTCGTTACTCAACACTCTATATAGATTTGACAAACATAATGCAATCCCAGGAAAGAATACGTTATTCCCAAATTTTAGATACCATCAACCAAAAGTTGTGATTAGACTGGAAGTTTTGCAATGTTAGCAACTGATGAGATACAGAAAGAAAGTTACATTATCAACAACTTCATTCAAGGTGAAGGTGGTATAAAGTAATAACTGCTTAGACTAACTTAGGGTAACGCTAAATAGACAAAGCTTAGGAAGAATATGGTGACAAGTGGATAAGATAACAGGAGAACTTCTTTAGGTTTCCTTCTATCCTTAAGATTCACTAAAGCAGTTCATAGTCAGTTACTTTTGAAGGGCAAATGTTATTGTTTTAAAGGAAAATGTAGCAGCTGACTTGTGCCTAAGATCCCAGAGAAGTAAATGAGAGAACAGAAGAAATGGCTTGGTGACGCAAATAGCCCTTTCTCAAAGGTGACATCAGCTTGCATGGAATTTCCGTCTTCGTTTGATAACTCATTTAGTCTATTCAACAATATGGGGGCCCAGGGAAAATAGCAAAGGAAAAAGTATGAACTGTCTGATGTCCCCAACATATGTATTTAGATATCTTGAATCAGCCAGTGGAAGCAAGGTTCAAAATAACTGCATTATTTATGGTCCTTTTGCCATTGTTTATAATCTATAAACACTTAAATGACAAAATGTAGCATCTAGAACACAATACCTGTAAATCGTTTGTAAATTTTAAGGTCTGAGTTTGTGCCTCAGAGGTGTATTTAAGGACCCGCTCATACAGGACCAGGGCCTCACTCCACTTCTTTACAAGTACATAGGACTGGGCAATGAAGAAGCACCTGGAAAAGAGAGGACACTGAGACCAATGCAGATAAAACCCTTTCCCAGACCACAACATATTGTGCAATTCTGAGGTACACCAAGAAACAAACAAATGGACAACTCTGATTCAAAAGCTCCTGATGACCTCAAACTGCTTTAGTTTCTGACATAGCAGTGTCTGGGGGAGTCACTTCAGTGAAAATAATTTGAACTTATGAAGCATCATGGCTTGACACTAACGCCATTAGTTTGAAACTCACTAATTTATGTAGATTAATCAGCGAGTGTACACAAGGAGATTCCACAAACGGCAATCAGGTTTTTCAGCCACAAAAGCAGTTTCCAGCATCTGGAGTACTTTGAAATTCTGAAGATTGCTCTGAACAGGTCAGTTCTGAAGAAGAGTTTAAAAGCTGTTTTGGTTGATTGGCCAGGGCACTGCACTCATCTGCCCTTTCCTGAATCCCTCCACTCCCCACCTTTTTGGCAAAATCCCCAAGTGTCCAATCTCTCATATGCATTTGCTTGACGTAGCTACGGTTTAATCCCTCATTCAAAAGATGATCCTGCCAACAATGCAGCACTCCCTCAGGAGTGGACTAATGCCTGCTAATGGAGTGGGCTTGAACACACAACCTTCCGACTGGTACTATCAGTGGAGCCTAGCAGATACCAGACAGTTCTGGCTCTGACATTTCTAATGTAGCAGCGCAAGTCGACCAGACTTGCCAGGGTCTCCGATGAGAACTAGTTATATCGGCTGCTTTTCTTCTCGCTGCCTGTAAATTCTGTTGGAATTGGCAGAAGACAGCATTCTGATGGAAATAGACTAAAATCAAATTTACAAACAGCCTATTTCCAATTTTGTTTTGAAGTTCTGAAGTTCTTTGGCATAACACCCAAATGACCCTCCCACTTTACAGCAGCAAGGTGCCTCTGGTAATTCCCTAGCTCACTGGTGACAGATATCTGGGGAATGCTGACAGTGGGGCAGCTGCTTAGTCCTATCCATGAATGGGACCCCACCCTGAGATTTGGGGTGAGGTCACAGCAGACCAACAGTTTGAAGCCTCACCTACCCTGTCATACTTAGTGGCAGGATGGTACCGCAGTTTAAATTAGAGCCAGAGTCAACTTTATTTGCTATTCACCTGGGAGCGTTTATTCTCTAGGCGGGGCTGCCAAGCGAGAATATTGCTTGTTTAATTTAAATCCACCTTTGTTCCACGATACATTTTAAAATGATCTTTAATGATTTACTCTAATGTTGGCTCACTACATGCCATTACGCAGACAAGACTGAAAGAGCTAGATATTTTCTAATCAACTTGTTCAGAGACTTTATTATACATCTCTAGAGCAGGTGGGGCTTGAACCCAAGCCTCCTGGCTCAGAGACAGGGACACTGCCACTGCTTTACAATCACACCTAGTGACTAAAATGGCTTGTTAAATTTAACCCACCTGTTCAGGCATCTTATGACGCATATCTGAGGCAAGTGGGACTTGAACCCAGGCCGTTTAGCTTTGGAACAAGGACCCCCGCCATTGCACAAGAGTCCTCTGTAATCAATAATTTTCCTAATTTCTCTCTTTTCACAGAGACATCATCTCTGGAGCAGGTGGGACTGGGACCTGGGTGTGCTGGTTCAGAGGTAGGGATACTACCACTGCATCACTACAGTCCCTCGTGACTAATAGGGCTACATAAGGCCTGGCTACAGACTACAGTGAGCTATAAACAGATTCAATTACCTCACCATAAATAAAGTGCACTGTGGAAGCCACAGTCCACGGACAATAGCCCCCGAGGGATAGTGGCGGCCGAGGAACCCGGCTGAAAAAAAAACTTATTCTTTATTATTAATTCAGTCGTAAAGGAAATACGACTGAAGGGTGGTTGACTCTTTAGTGGAGAAAACAGTTGAGTGATATTTCAGTAAATACGCCATTCAACTCGGAATGGCTGCGTACTCCCGGGCTTCAGAGAAAGAAATCCTGAAGGCCAAGTTTTCTCTGTGAGGGTGACCTGAAACCACCACTGGCAAAACAGGTGATGACTAGTCATCAGATTTTAAATCAACAGGAACAATTCTATCCTGTACAGCTATTCCATTTGAATGAATAGTAATTTGAAACCTGAAATTAAACCAAAAACAAGGAATATATTGAATATTTTGAATAGAAGCTTCAACCAAAATTTCACCATGTGAAGAATGAAACACTCGGCTGCTGTGCACTTTAAGAATATTCCACTGTTGAAGAATGCCTGAATGGGTATGAAGGGATTTTCTTATGGGGAGAGATTGAGTAGGTTGGTTTGCACTGGAGTTTAGAAGCGCGAGAGAAGACCTTGTTGAAATATATTAGAGTCTGAAGGGGCTTGACAGGATACACGCAGAGGGGCTATTTCCCTTTGTGGGAGAGTCTAGGGCCAGAGGAAATAAACCCAGAATAAAGGGATCATACATCAAAGACAGAGAAAAGGACGAATTTCTTCTCTCAGAGGGTAGTGAATCTGCAGAATTCTTTATCACAGAAGGCTTGAGGCTGGGTTGTTAAGTTTTTCCAATGCTGTGAGACAGATTTTTAAATCAGTAAGGGAATCAAGGGCTATGGGGAAAGGGGAGTTTCGGATTATCAGATTAGCCATGATTTTTCGAATAGCAGAGCAGACCCAATAGACTAAAAGGCCTACTTCTGCTCCTGTTTTATAAACCTTTGCACTCCACAATCTGTGCAACAGCAAGAGGGTCTTTCAGTTTCAAGGTTCACTGCTGTGTTGTACTTAATTTAGAAGTACAGGCTCGTTTGAAATTCCATGTTTAAAATGGAAAGTTTGGAATTTAGCTTCCAGTTCTTTGCCTATTGTGTAAAACACAGCCAAACCAATGTGGTTTCTTAATAGCAGACAGTGTACGAAAGTAAACAAAACACCAAGTATAATCAAGTGCTAGAACAATTGATATCCATCAGTGGTGATGATATCACTAATTAGAATCAAAGTATATTAACACCACTGTCAATCAGGTTGGAGGTGGGAGAAGGTGTGGTGCAGGATTTAAATAAACAAACAAAATCTATTTACAATAGCAGGAACTTGTACTTATTTAGTGTATTTAACACCATAAAACATTCCAGGAGACTTTACAAGAGCATTATAAACATTAAAAGCAAGTCACATTGGGTAATTCAGGTAGATGGCCAAAAGCTGGGTCAAAGAGGTAGCAGGAGGGAGATGTAGAGAAAGGAGAAGTCAATGGAGGGAGCTTCAGAGTCTTGGGAGCTGTGCTGAAATTCTGGGTTGGAATTAGATGGACACCCATCTCAGAAGACAGTGGGTTTGAAAGAGTTTGCAGAGATAGAGAAAGGCTTGGCCATAAAGAGATTTTAATCAGCAGGTAAATGGGTTATTACATACATGCCATTTAGCCCACTGTGCAGGTCACCCATTCAAAATGAATATCTCACTTTTGTGGCATTTTCCTGATTTATCCCTGTAACCTGCACATTATTCTGTTTCAATTAACCATCTAATTCTGTTCTGAAGCTGGTTCCAACCACACTTTCAGACCGTGCATTCTAACCAGTCATTATATGAAAAGGAAATTTCCTCACATCACTTCAGTTTCTTTTACTAATGGTTGAAATCTGTGACCTCTTGTTCTGAACCTTTTCACGAGTGGGAACATTTTCCTTATTTACTCTATCTAGTTGCTTCAGGATTTCAAAATCTTCAATACATTTCCCCATAGCCTTCTATTCTTGAAGTGTGCTTTTGTTAATGTATTCACTGGATGAGTGTCTCACCGGCTAGACCAACCCCAATTGCCATTGAGGTAGTGGTGGTGGTGAGCTGCGTTTTTGAACCTCCCCTGTCCATATTGTGTAAGTACACACACATTGTTGTTAGGATTGCATTCCAGCATTGTGATTTGGCAATGTATCTCCAAGTCAGGACGGTGAGTAGCTTGGAGGGGAACTTGCAGGTGGTGGTGCTCCCATTATCTGTTGCCCTTGACCTTCTAGATGGGAATGCAAATGGTAGAGGGACAAGGGCAGCAAATCCATTTGGACCACTACCAGCTGCAGGTTCCCTATATGTGCATAATACAAATTAATTATTTCTTCAGAAAATTGCAGCAAGTGGACAGTGGTTACGTACCAGTTCTGAGTACACAATCAATCACAAAGATTAACAGCAGTGCAATCTCCTGGAGTAAGTGATGTAAACTTGCAGTCTAGAACAGTGGTCTCATTAAATTCAACCAAATAGAACAGTGGCAGTACTTGACAAACACTACAAGAGACTATTGCCACGATTTAGCGCATGTTATTGGACTGGTTTATATTCTGACTGCAACAAACTGAGAAGAAATCGGCCTCACCAGCAAGAACACCTGCCTAATCCCATGAAGGTAACTGAAAGGAAACTGACAGTGCTGCGCGAAGAAATATTTATCTTTCAATAAGATAATTTGCAAGGAAAGACAAAGAAATTCAATTGGTTGATTGTTTCAAAGTGCAGCATTACAAGGAATGGTTTGAAAAATTGTCTGTTCAAGCCATCTATGTAGAATATTTTTAAATCAACCTATTCAGGGATGTTATTACACACCACCTGTACCCAGGCCTCCTGCTATGTAGAGGAAGCCCCAAGAGCAATGCAGCAATGAAAAGGGTATTCTGTAAATGCCCTTTTGGGTATGCTGTCAAAAAATACTTTGTAAATAAGGCCTCATGTCAGCTCACAGGCTTGGCTTTGGAATTAACTTTTGTACTGGTGGAAGTTATTTGGAGAATCCTGTAACAAACAGTATAAGTGAATTACATTGCAGTGCAACACATGGCGCTGGTTATACATATATCCAGCATCCCATAAGGTCAGGCATGTTCACAAACAGCTAGAGGACATTTCTCAGCTGATGAGTCAGTCAACTAAGAGAATATTAATTCATGTTTCCAGTGTTATTACAAAGATATCATTTTTTTGGGAGGACATGGATAAACCAAAGTGTGTTTGCCCTGTTGTGCAAAAACAAATCTCAATTAGTAATTCATTTAAATACTTGTTCTTCTCAATTAACCTGTACTTTCTCGAAGGTACTGACGGATTCGTTCTAGGGTACGAAGGTCAGTCTTCCCTCAGGTATGCTGAGCAAATTAAGGAAAATATGCGCGTTTGGACATCACAGAAGGATGGTAATATGATGGACAAAAATGTCTCACTATCCTTCACTATCAAGTGAAGGAAGATTCTTTGCATTGAGGCCTGCCAGAAGATAAGCAAGGAGAAAAACACTGGAAAATTATAGCAACAATTGTTTAATAGTGGTGGTGAGAATGAGCTTGCTCTCCTCCATACCTACCTGTAGGCCTTGTAAACCAAAGTCTTCAGCTCCACCTCTGCCTGGAAGGTTTTATCATCCTCCACTCCTGACAGCTGGGGCAGCTCTGACAGATTCTGTGCATGAACACAATGTCCAGTGTTAGAAGCACGCTACTACGTTTCAACCAATGGTTATTTGGAACTGTCCAGCTCAGAAGTGTCAAGCAGTTCAAACTGCAAATGTGGCATCAGAAATGCTACTATTCTTTGCCCAGGTTCAAAGACCGACATTGCATCTTATCTTTACAATGTGCAGGTGATGTGTCCCCTTTAGCAATTTAAATGGGTCAACTGCATGTAGTCTGACTGGGGACTTGGAATGCTGCAAAACAATAAGTGCAGCTTGGGAAGAACATTGTCCAAGATGCTCATTTATATACATCAAGACTACCCCAATTCCTGACAGTATCTCCCAGTAGCTACTTGTAGGCTCTTACTGCAAATCCTATACCTGACTGCACTAGATATTTGAAATTGCATTTAAAACATGCGCTAGCTGGAAAAGAAAGTTGTTAAATGCTAATGGTGCTCAGCCACCAACCAAGTTTCGGCACTGCCAGTTATTACATTTCCAGGCACCACTGACAAAAGAGTCCTGTAGACGACCATCTCATTTCCTTCACAGGCAAAAACAAAATGATTCTCACTTGCTCAGTTTGATTTTTCCTCCATGTACCCTTGCTATCCAAACTTGGTCTCTTCCTAGCTGCTTTCTCTTCTGTATGTTTCCCATTCTCTGGTGATTTGTACACTTTGTCTTTCAATTCCCATTTCCTCGCAACTCCTGCATTCTCTTTGGGGAAAGTCCAGACAACGTGGAAACACTTTAGATTACAGGTAGAGAGGGGCACACCCCTCCTTCAGAAAATGAAGAAGGGTTCCGACCTGAAACACCAACTTTCCTGCTCCTCTGATGTTGCCTGGCCTGGTGTGTTCCTCCGGCTCCATAGTGTTATGTGCAACCATCTTGTCCAGACGAGGCTCCTGTCACTGTTGAACTGCATCCAGAACTACAACTGTTCCCATCTCAGAAAGTGGTTGCATATCTTATACAGGCTGGGAAAAGGATAATGAACGGGGATGTACAAGGGAGGAAATGGCCTAGTGGTTTTATTGCTAGACTATTAATCCAGAGACCATGGTAATTATCTGGGGACCTGGGTTCGAATCCCATCATGGTAGATGATGGAATTTGGATTTAATTAAAAATCTGGAAGTAAGAGTCTAATGATGACTGTGAAACCGGTGTCGATTGTCAGAAAAACCCATCTGGTTCACTAGTGCCCTTCAGGGATTGAAATTTGTTATCCTTATCTGGTCTGGCCTACATGTGACTCCAGACCTACAGCAATGTGGTTGACTCTCAACTGCCTTCTGGGCAATTAGGGATGGGCAATAAATGCTGGCCTAGTCAGCAACGCCCACAGCCCATGGATGAGTAAAAAAGATCAAACTTGAGGCGGATCTGGAGCTGACAATGCAGCTGTCAGGGCAGGTAGGTAACAACTTGTGCCTCCGGCCATAGCCATACTCATTACATTCAGAAACCATGGTGAAAAGAATGCCTAGAACTGTGTGGTCTAGTGAACTGGTGTGGTTTTCCGTTTGACTCTCAGAGTAAACTCTTCACCAATGGGAGTGCTCGCCATGCTCCAGTCACATCTTGTGGGCAGATCATCTCCAAAGGCAAATATACATAGTGTTTTGGGAAGCTGGGGTGTTCGAGCTACTCAAAGCCATTCAGCCACCTCAATTACACCAAGCAAGTGTTTAAAGATACATCATTCATCACAAAAGATTAATTCCTCCATTCAATAATGAAGCATAGGAATGGTTACGTCTTTAAATGAAAGCAAAATGCTGGGGATCGGAAACAAAACAGGAAGTGCTGCAGAAACTCAGCCTGCCCAGCAGCGTGTGTGGAGAGAGAAAACAGAATTAACATTTTAAATCCAATACTCTTCTTCAGAAACAACTGCTGAAAATTTTCAGCACTTTTATTTACTTCTACTAAGCCAATGTGATCATGTGACCCAAAATGTCACGATGATCCATCAGTCAGCAACATGTTGTTATATCTGCCCCAGAGTTCCCTGTGCCATACATTAAAGAATTAAAGTTAGGAGATTCTGCTGAAATAATAAGACTAGTATAAATTACAAGAATTCATAATACGGTCAGGCTCTTGTACAGGTGTCCTCATCTCATGCCCACCCTCTTTGCATGTCTTTTATCAGCAAACCATTTCTGATCAAGTTAGTTCAATGCAGTTTGGGTTTAAAGGAATAACCAACTATGCTGGAGGTCCCGGTAACAGCATCGACAGTGGGTCTTCAAGAAAACAAACTGCTGCCCTTACCTGCAAGATAATGTCATACAGTCGGATCAGGTCTTGCGGCCGCAGCACTCGCTTTCCCTCATCTTTTACCGACTCGCTCATCTGCTTCTGCAAAGCCTCAGCCATGGCAACATTGCGTTTTATCGCAGTGGAAAGCTTAATGTATGTAAGATAACTGCATGAGGGGAAGTAATAGTGAGTATATAATAACCTATAACCAAACAAAGCCTCTTTCAAACTTTAAAGAATGCATTTAGGGTGTTCAGACCGTTAAATGTGGTATATACAAAGGAAGTACTTCCTTCGGTGGGACAATTGGAACTTTCAAGACAGAGATAGATAAGAATTTTATTAAGTAAGGGCTTCAAGAGAGGTAGACAAAAGGTGGGAGTTTACAAGATATGGATCAGATATCAAAGAATCCCTACAGTGGAACAAGAAGCCATTCAGCCCTTTGAGACTGCTGTGAACTCTGAAGGGCATCCCACCCAGACCCAGCCCCCTATCCCCATAACCCCACATTTACCACTGCTAGTCTACCTACCCTACACATCCTTAGACACTACAGACAATTTAGTGTGGCCAATCCACCTAACCTGCACATCTTTGGACTGTGGGAGAAAACCAGAGCAGATACAGGGATTACATGCAAACTTTACACAGACAGTCACCCAAGGCTGGAATCGAACCCAGGTCCCTGGTGCTGCGAGGCAGCTGTGCTAACCACCGAGTCACCATGTGACTTGTCATACAATCTGTGATATGATCTAACCAAACAGCAGAGTACACTCAAGGGTCTCCCGTTCTCATTCCTAAACAAGTACATTACTTATTAAATCTCAATTCTAAGATGCAGCCTCTGGCCTATCATTGCGTTGGACATTTATAGTTCTTGGATAATCAGTAAACCCACTGCTGGATCAAGCCAACTAATATAAATGCAAACATTCTTGTGGGAATAAATTTTATTTTTGGTTGGTTGCTAGGCATATGCCAGAACTAAATACTAATATTCATAATCTCTCCACACAGTTTCCCTCACTTGTCTCTCCATAAAGGTGCAGATTGAGAAACCTGGACTGTTTCACTAAAAGTAGCCAGTGGAGAGGTGACCTTATGGAGAAAGATACAAGTTGGTTGGTTTTAACTTAAAAAAGTTTGAGCAGCACGAGAAGAGAGGTTCAAACAAAAGAAAATATTAGAACTTAAGTTCTTTTCCACACAGAGGAATTAAGCATTAGAATGAACATTTGGGCTACATAGTGCAGGGAAAATTCTGAACTAATATGAAAAGCAACAGATATATACGTGAATCGGATGAGGTACGTTGGGTTGAACTGGAATCCTTATCTGCAAGACTAGAGATCTCTTCTCTCGTCATCCTTCAGGCAAGTCTAAATAGCAGGCTTTGCCAGTCTGCTGAACAGCAAGTCTTCACAGATAGAACTGATCCTTCATTTAAACACACACAAGCATTGCTGAGTATAGCCTCTGCTTGGGTGCAATTAGCCAACTCAGTATGGATGGTCAAAGATCCTTCTTTGTGTATGTAGTTCAGCTGCTCATTGCTTGAAGTAGCTAAGGCTTTGACTAAGTTTCTGTTTACACTATAAAGTATGACCCATACCTGTGAAGATATTGTAGACTGGACACCTTTCCTGAATCAGGCTCCAGAGAACGTTCTCGCTGCTTCTGTGCCTGAATAAACAATAAATAAAGAGAGATTGCAATGCTATGATTTTCTTTGTTAATGTTACCCTACATATCTAGTACACTATTCTCTTTCAAAACCCTTATAGTCCATAACCAACCCCTGCACGGAATACCCAAACTGAACCTGACTGTATCTGTACAGATGTGCTGATTTCACTTTCTTCACTTGTAGCTAAATTCAACATTGCTACATCTAATCTATCATTCAACCTATCCAGCTCAACCAAGACAGAATTAATCTTTCATTAGGTGTAGCTTTACAGATACAACACACCCTATAGCAGGGGGCAAATTGGAGAGTGTGGGGTGTGAAGGGAAGGAAGCACAAGGGGGGAGTAAGGGACAGAATGTGAGAAAGGAGGGAGGGGGAAGAGAGTGATGGGAAGAGGACTGTCCAACAGTCTTTGGATACATTTTTCAAAACAATGCTTCATATAATATTTGTTACAGTCAGGTTTAATTTATTTTTGTAACTTAAATCAGCAAGCAATGCACAGACTGTACTATTACAATGTTTCTTAATATAAGATAGCTTGATTTGCTCTTAGATCTGTAGTCGCTGTCCCTGTGTGTCATTGTCTGTTTATTTTTTCCCATATTAATTACTTGTTCGTTTCATTTCCCCCTCTCTTTGATTCATTACAAACTTCCCAAATTTGGACTCCAGTCGGCACTATTCAGTTTAAAACCCGCTCTACTTCCTAGTTATGCAGTTCGCAAGAACACATGTCCCAGTACAGTACTAAAGATTATTACCGGAGGTTCTGCTTTATTTGGCACTTCGCTCCTCATACTGGCTACGCAGAACCTCTTTCCGAGTACCACCTACGTCAGTGGTGCCTGCATGGACGATGATAATTGGATCTTCGCCCTTCCCACTGCAAGCTCATCTGCAGTTCAGAGCAGATATCCTGAACCCTGGCACTGGGCAGATAGTGCAGCCCCCTCATGCTTGTTTTTGCAGTGAACAGTGTCAATCCACCAACAACGCTGTTTCCTATTACCACCACATTCCTGTTGGCCCCCCATGCCTTAATGGCTTCCTGCAGCATGATCATTTCACTCATCCATTCCACAGACCCCTGCTCTCACCCAAACAAGCTAACAGAACATCAGACCTGTTGGACAATTGCAGAAGTTAACCCTCCTGCACTCTCGGTCTCTTTACCTGCTCATTTGCAGTCGCACCTTCCTGCCCCTGACCACTAGCCACAACAGAACACCCTATCCTAAGAGGTGTGACTACCTCCTGGTAAAAAGAATCCAGGTAACTTGCCCCCTCCCTAAAGAATCAAATTCTCCAGAGTTCAGCTTTCAACTCAATCTGACCAGAAGTTGCTGGAACTTCAAACACTTACTATAGATCTGTTTGCCTTGAGCCACATAATACAGAGTTGACACATCACATGCACGACCATTCTTAATGAGTTTCATATTATTATTGTGTTATATTATTCACTTATTTATTTTTTTTTGTGCATTATGTTAAGTTTACCACCCATGTGCATAATATGTTGTAACTTGAGAGTAGAATAGGCTTCAACCAATTAACAGATACTCTCTCCTGATAAATAACCATGTGGTGAGGTCTAATGTTTGGTTTGACTTTCCTGCCTTCAAAGGCTCCCTTTCCATTACAAGGCAAAGAATTTATAAACTTTCTGGGATGTCACTCTTGCTGTTTTCAACAAGAACTGACTGCAAGCCACACCTCTCAGACTGACAATAAATAATGTCTAAGTTGATGCAAAGGTCACTTACTCTTTACACAGGTCCCCTTAAGTTCCATGTGGCATATATCCATGTGATGCACAAACCTCAATCTCCTGCTCTACTCTGAGGTTCAAACCTCAGGCCGGATGAGCACACTCTATACAAGCTAATAGTCTAATCTTCTTAATTCTGAATATAGACTTGGTCAGATCCTATTGGATGGACTGCATTTAGTTTTGGGTACCACAATTTGGCAAAGACATCTTGGTTTTGAAATGGGTGCAGCAGATTCACTAGAAGAATAGTTCAGCTTAGTGGGTTTAAATTATGAGAGTAAGTTACTTAAAGATGGTTTTCCTTGTATATCAGTAACTGAGAGGTGATCTGATTGAGGCACTCATGATGATTAAAGGATTTCAGACTTCAGACACAAAGAAACTATTTCCTCTAATGAGGGGGCAATCTAAATTAAAGCAATGAGCAAAGTTTCAGGAGCAGAATTAGGAGGCAGAGTTTCACTCAAGGGGTAACAGAAATATGAACACTCCCCCGGTGGGTTTTCTGAGTTTTCAAGGCAGAGATTGATCAATTTTTGTCAGGTAAGGGTGTAAAGGGAAATGGAGTCAAGGTGCAGCTGAACTCCCAATCAGCTATGATCTAGCTGAATACTAGAGCAAGCTTGAGGAGCTGAATGGCCTCACAGGTGAAAACTATGCAAACACCAGGTATTATATCAGTAACAGGAGAGTTGCTGTCAACATTTCTCCCCCATTTTAACATTCACTTACCGGATCAACTCTCAGCTCCTCACGAACTGCCTGGATGGCATCGCGGCACTCACTCAACAGACTCTCATATAGTCGCTCCTTGGCCTCGTCAGTTGTAGTCTGCAAAACACACCACCAGTCAGAACACAAATTAGAGCTGCCTTCAGGGAATATTATACCAAATCACACAGACAGAACTTATTTCATACCTAGTAGGGTGCTCATTTGTTGTAACCTTTAGAAACAACAGGGGCATGATAGATACGGTATGAAAGTGGCCCTCGGTTGAACAGTCTGCTGGTACTCATCACCCACTGTTGTGCATGGTGTGGTACTTGGGTGCGGGGGTGGGGGGGTGTGTGGAAGAAAGGCCAGCCAGAAAGGTAGAAATACGTCAAAGACAAGAGAAGAGGAGATAAAGTTCAGAAAGAAAGACCCCAGCACATGGTCATTCCCTTTTCCTTTAATATACCACTTTCTCAATAAACCTTTGACTGTCATCTTTAGAAAAATTAACAAATCTATATTTAGCAACAGTTTGTGGTAGACACTTCCACATTCCACTCATCCCTTTCATTTTCTTTTGCCCACTATCTCAACAACTGGTGAAAACAATTCATCACAATTTAGATTTTTTTGTTGCAAGATTCCAGCCCCAATGCATCACAAAATGCCATCCCAACAAGATCAGCATCAAACCAAAGTACTTCAGTTCAACTCATCATCCTCCCAAAATATGAATGCCTGACACCATTTAGCAGTCTCTTCAACATGCTGGAATCCTGGCTTCAGTAACTCCTCTGACAGCTTATTCAAGGAAACATTTGCACAGTCTTCAACATTCGCTCCTTTTTGTACAAATGAGCTCTCGGGATGTGGGTGTTTATGGGTTAACTTGGCATTTGTTGCCCATCCCAAGCAGAAGGCAGAGATAACAGGTGTAGAGCTGGATGAACAGAATTTTTCTGAAGAAGGGTCTAGGTCCAAAACGTCAGCCTTCCTGCTCGGCCTGCTGTGTTCATCCAGCTCTACACCTTGTTATCTCAGATTCTCCAGCATCTGCAGTTCCTACTATCTCTCCCAAGCAGAAGGCAGTTGGGAGGGATGTTGAGCAGATTAATATAAACATTGAGGTGGTATTGAAGGTTTTGGTAGATTTAAAAGTCAAAAAATCCCCAGGTCCAGATGAGTTATATTCAAGACTGTTGCGGGATATGAGGGAGGAAATTACAGTGGTCTGATCCAAAAAGTTTTAAAATGTGTCTGATTACAGGGGAGGTGTAAGAGCTGTGGTTCCACTTTGCAAGAAGGGTGGGAGAGTTACACCAGGGAACCACAGACCTCATTTGGGGAACTGCTGGAGAAAACAGTGAAAGAGAAAATTAATCTCCATTGAGAGGGGTAAGGTTTGATCAGGATGGTCAGCATAGATTTGTCAGAGGGAGGTCATGTCTAACGAATGTGGTGGAATTTTTGAGGAGGTGACCAAGTGTTTAGATGAGGGTAGGAAAGTTAATGTAATTTAAATGGATTTCAGCAAGTCCTTTGTCAATCTTCCAAATAGTAAACTTATAAATAAGTAAAAGCTCACGGGATCCAGGTTAACTTGGCAAGATGAATCCAAAATTGGTTGAGTGATAGGAGACAGAGGGTGACAATAGAAGTCTGTTTGTGTGACTGGAGCCTGGTGTGAAGTGGCATACCACAGAGATTTATGCTGGGTCCCTTATAGTTTGTGATGTTCATAAATTATGTAGATGAGAATGTGGGAGGGTGATAAATAATTTTGCAGATGACAAAGACTGGTTGTGTTGTCGACAGTGACGAGGAGCGTGCTAAGTTACAGAAGATATAAACAGATGGTCGGATCAGTGGCTGAAGGAATTTAATTCTGATAAATGTGAGGTGAGGAAGAGGGGTCATGAGAAAACGCTGGCAGGTAAGATTAGGGAGAATCCCAAAATATTCTGCAAGTACATCAAGGGAAGAGAATAACCAGGGAAAGAGTAGGGCATTCTACTTTGGGAAGTGGGAACAAGGTAAGGGAGTACTCAATGAATAGCAAGACACTAACAAGCTCAAAGGGGCAGAGGGATCTTGGGGCGCTTGTCCATAAATCCCTGAAGGTAGTAGGATAGGTTAACACGTTAGTTAAGGCAGCATACGGGATCTTGCCTTCATCAGTCATGCATAGATTATAAAGCAAGGTCGCCATTTTGGAGCTGTCCAAAACTTTGGATAGGTTATAGCTGGTATACTGTGTGCAGCTCTGCTCACTGCACTTCAGGAAGGATGCGACTGTACTGGAGGGGATGCAGAGGAGATTCACCAGGATGGAACTTTTCAGCTATGAAGAGAGGCTAGATAAGCTTGGATTAGTTTCTTTGGAGCAGAGGTTGAGGGGGGAGCTTAACAGAAGCATATAAGAATATGAGGGGCACGGACAGGATGAATAGAAAGCAACTGTTCCCCTTAGTTGAAGGGTCAACAACAAGGTGGCATACACTTAATGTGAAAGGCAGGAACTTTAGAGAGGATTTGAGGAAAGACTCTTTCACCCAGATGGTGATGGGTGTCTGGAATGCACTGCCTGGGAGGGTAGTTAAGGAGGAAATCCTCACAATCTTTAAAAAGCACTTGAATGAGCATTTGAAATATCATAACATTCGAGCTATAGGCCTAGAGTGGGAAAGTGGGACTAGTGTGCGCAGATGATGATTTTTAGCAATAGACTTGATAGGCTGAATGTTTTCTTCTAATGATTCTACGCTTCTATGATTCTAACAATTCTCCAGTTCTTCAAGTACAAGTGATTGTCAACATGGAATATCAACATTCCAAACACTAGACAATAAAGCATTGTTTCCATGAGAATACATGTACCACTCATTTAATATTTCTAATAAATGCAGCCACTAATTGTTACGTACAAGAAAAATGGAGTCATTCAAGGGCTTTTGTAACGTTGGCTATACAGTTCAGTAGGTTTGTAAGCAACCAAGTGCCCAACCCAAAGAAGGTGATTGTACCTGAATGTTGAATAGCCTGTTGCACTGGTTAGCAGTATACCTGAAAGGTATTGGCTACTGGACCTTCACATGGGATCTGTCAGCCAGAGGTGCTTATCAACGTAAACACAAACCCTCCCCTCACTTCAGTAAATATTGATCAACAGTATAAAGGGTGGCAGTAAGCAATTTGGGTCTGTATTCTGCAAGGCAATTCTAAGTCAGACTGCAGACTTACTTAGATAAATTAAAGAAATAACGAAGAACGTGCAGGCTCACATGGAGCTGATGGGATGCAGCACTCCGAACTGCCCACATGAAGAGTGGTAACAGACAGACACAATGTACCACGAAGGGTCTCCTTCTGTGCTGTAATCATTTTGAGATACTGTGGAAACCCGGTGCATGGGCATGTTTTACTTTTATTAAATAGTTTGACAGATTGCCAAAAGGGAATCTGGATGCTCCACCAGCGCTGCCATGTTGTGATGGAGAAGGAACTTTCAAAATCAGAAATCAGCTGAAACTCCGGAAAATATTTTGGGCTGTATGCAGCACCACCTGGAAGGGAGGAGCCAGCTGGGCCTGTCAGAATCACTGCTGGATGTTACTTGGAAGCGCAAGTAAAGTCGCTTCCACAAAGCGCTGGGGATATCTCCTAGTTTGGGGGCCAATGCTCATTTCTCAACCAACACCTCCAAAATAAAAACACCACTGATCATGTCTCACACTGGTGCCTGTGGGGATTCAACAGAAAGATCAGTTGGCACGTTTGCCTACAATAGAAATGACTGAAACTTAAAACCAGCAATAAATCACTTTGGGGCAATCGGGATATGAAACACTATAATAAATGCAAATTCCTTCCAGCACAAAGTCAATTTTCTAATTTAATGGAGACATGACAAATCCCTTAGCAAGGTGCAGAGCTGGATGAACACAGCAGGCCAAGCAGCATCATAGGAGCATCCT